CGCGGCGAAGGGTGGCAGAAAGGAAATCTGGAGAAAGGGTTGGCCTTCACCGCGGCGAAACATAAGTTGGCCACGGTGAAAGTATCCTGAGAGATAATTAACGTGAAAGAAAGGGGGCTTTGCCGTGGCGAAGGATGGCAGAAAGCGAAAAATCCTGAGCAATTTTCAACTCTTCAACAACTAAACTCAAAATATTCACAATTCAACCAATTTATAAGTTCAAAACACCTCAAAATCAAATAGATGCATGGATGCATGAGAAATATTTGCTAGATTCCACAATAAGTTCCTCCCTCACACTTAAAAACAACATTGTCCTCAAGGTATGAATCAATGACATCAAATACCAGAAATGAAGTACAGGGGTGAAAATAAAGCAAGATCATAACAAACCAATGAGAAAGCATCCATCTAAACAAGTTCAAAACCAACGGAGCACAATAAAGGTTCAGAAATATCCAGCCTCAGAACAACAGAACAAATGAAACAAAAGAAAACACAAAAACACAGAGACTAAAAACTAAAGCTGCAGCCCAGAATCATCTGCCCCGGACCCTGATGGTCCTGCACCGGATGTGCCTGCTACATCCATACCCATACTGCTTTATGGCTCCTCCTCCTCAGCTGGTAAGGCAAAATTCAACCGGTCCGCGATCAAGGCATCAATACGGTGGCGGTAGCGACGATCTCGGTAATACAATGCATCACGGTCCTTTTGCCGCTTAATCTCCTGGAGGAGTATAATGCGCAACTGGTTAACATCCTCGCACAGCTCGTCAATGTTATTCACAAGTGCGTCTAAGGTGATTGGCTGAGAAGGCTCATGAGCATCTTGGCCTTCCTCGGCTGGCTCAGCAGCTGCCTGGCCTGCACTAACATCGTAAACCAGATGGATAGGAGGGTGGGGTGCAATGGTAGGCTGTTTGAGGCGCTCATACTAGAAAAAGGGTGCAGGTTCGAAATAGCTGTCATTATCAAATTCAGGTACCCCGCACTTGCGGAAAATATCAGAGATAAGGTGAGGAAAAATGATGCTATTGGTGAGTTTTTTGGTGTTGACGGAATCGTGGAGGGCTGATTGGATGGTTTGAGCTACATCGAAAGTTTTTTTGGTCATGAGGAGATAAACGTAAAGAGCTTGGCATTTAGGAAGGTTCTGGAGATGGGAAGTGGGCAAGATGTTGTTGCAGACCAGGTGCAGCCACGGCATCGCCTCAGGCCGGAAATCAGAGCGTTTCATGTAAAGCTCAACAGTGCAGGGAGATGCTAAGTGGCACCATCCTGGCACAGGGTCTGGAGAATTTCATCAAAAGGATAATTATCTCTGTAATGCGAATAGTGGGAATGACGAACCTCAGGAAGGCGGTAGTGGTGGGATATGTTATATGTGGTGAAGGAGTAATTCACACGGTGGTCACGGAACAGGATGGATAACATGCCATTAAGGCGAGCGTAGGTGTAGAAGTGGCGGACGAAGGCATTATTGCCCATTTCTCGTGGGCGAACCAATATGGTCAATTGGGACTCACGAAGTCTTTGGACAAAGGGGTTGTCTGGTGGGTCAAGAGGAAAGGGTCTTTCCTTAAAGAGGGGGCACTGGTCTACTAACTTATAGAGGTCATCATAAGACAAGGCTTCATCTGAGTCAGAGTCAGACGCGGGTAAGGGTTCAGGGCGTTTGGTGCGAGGCATTTTCCTGTAGCAACACATAACAGAAACACTATACACAGAACAAACAACCACAACCTAAACAACCCAGAAAAAACCAAAATTACAACCTAGACAGTAGCAAATGGTTATATAATGATTCATAGGTTTTCAGAGGACTAAAAGTTTTCAAAATTAAGCAAAGAGATTAAAGAAAAACACAATGTACTATGAATTATTAGATAACCTACAGGCTACGTAACTACAATCTAACAACAAAATAACCCAACCCAACAACACAATACCAGAACAAACAAGCTAAAAACAACTAATCAAAAATAAACTAAAGCACCATTTATCAAGGCAGCCAACACTAGTGCAAAATACCCCTTTTAGTTTCTGTTAAAAACAACCTTTCGCTACTTTATATGTACTGTAGTAGAAGAAACTGTAGCGGAAGATATGACCTACGGCTTCTATTCTTAGAGAACAGAAGCCGTAGGTCGCCTACATATGGCTTCAGTTGTGCATAACTGAAGCCATAAGTATTGACCTACCTTCTGTTCTCTAAGAACAGAAGCCGTAGGTTGCGCATGGCTTACGGCTTCTGTTATGCACTAGAACAGAAGCCATAGGTTGGACGTATGGAGGGAACTTATGGCTTTTGTTATACACTATAACAGAAGCCATAGGTGTAGGTAGTGTTTTTTTAAATATTTTTAATTAAATAATAATTGTACTTAGAAACCTGTTAATTAATACAGCAAACTATATCTAATATTAAATATAACCACCAATTTACAGCGTATTTATACAACCAAACCATATGAATTGTTAACAAAAGTATGGATCTAGTATTAGTATGTTTAACAAAAGGATAAACATATAGAACTTGCTATACATCACCTTTTATTCTAATTTTGTTAAATTCAAGAAATACTCTGACCATATGCTGCGTATTTCTCTCATCTGTAAATCAGAATATGGGTCCAAATTTTGAAAATGCTGCCAAATGCAAAAAAATTGTAACATCAGTAATATTAAAAACAACTCAATATTTAAACTAAAATTATTATTTTCATATAATATTATTACCTTGTGGAATGAGTTGGTTATACCCCCAGAGATGATTTCATACATATACCTCATCACATAATATCCACATTCCACATCTTTTAGCTGTTTATGGCACTACATATATTCACAAAACAAGAGTGATCAATATAATTAATCTCACCATTGTTTAAATTTAAAATACATACCTTTAAATAAACCCAATCGATAAAACTTTGGCTATTCTTTCTCATCAATTTATAGTGCATCTTTAAAGATATATTTATATAAAATACTTGTAAGAAATAAAGTTATACACAATACTTACGATTCAAGAACTCCTTTCATATTTTCACTTACTTCCCATTGCAGAGAACAAAACCAATATATGGTCTAGTCAGATGGACAAATAACAGCAAGCCTCCAATGACCACTATAACATGAGTTAACATTAACACCATATCATTAAGAAAGTTTTCATTTAATTAAGAGGTGAATTAGAATGAAGTACCTTTCTATAATTGGTGCAAACCAACACTTTTCATTTCCTTCTTTAATCGTACTTCCAATGTATGATGTTCTCCCACTGAAAGTATTTCCGGTTGGTTGAATATGATGCGGACATAAGAATCTATAATGATTAGCCCTATCCAGTTCTTTGCAAAGATTGTGGAGATACCTATGAAAATGGCAAATGAGTTAGTAAGAAAATTAAAAACAACATATATGTAAAGTTAAAATAAAATTCATACTTACATGAGAAACAATTGAATTATTGATATGTTTAGCAAATCAAAAGCAAGAAATTCAGCAACATCTCTCTTGAAGATTGTTAATTCAATAGCTCGCCCCACAATCTCTCTACTCATACTTAGTTGAACAGTGTTGTTCATATCAACAAAAACTAAAGCTAGCTAGCTCAAGCTATCTCGCTTTGGCTTGACACTACGTTCAATAGCATGTTGAGGATTTGAATCAAAAGAATCCTTTGATTGGTAGACTTCCTAATCAATGACAAATATAAAATTAGAAATGCATACCATATGAATTAGGAAGTGAAAGATCACAAATAATTCATACCTCAATGGTAGTGGTAACTAGATGCCTTAGCCAAAGAATGAAATTATGTTTAGCTTGTCCCACTGTTTTTACCTCCTCATCAGGGAATGGCACTAAGGCATTAGCATCCACAACCTCTTCAACCACCGCCTTTACCTGGTAATCTAGAATCTCTTGATGATGGATCCTTATTGCAAATTTGTATACCTTTCCATGTGCAACTAAACATTTATTAGGATCCTCTACATAAAGCATACACGACACTTCTTCTGCCACACAACTACTTCTTGTACTTAGAGGCATAGGAGGTTGTTGTGCTTGCAAAGACTGCGTATGCATCGAGCTAAAAGATTTTATCATTGATTGCATTTGCATAATTTTATCTTGAAAATCTTTCTCTAGTGTTGTTACTCTTGCATCAGCTTTCTTTTCTGCTTCCTCTATCATCATCTGCACCTGCTATAATGGTACACCTTTTGGGCCATGAGTAGAAGGTGGTGGTCCAAAGTATTCTCTAATACCGACACCTCTTGGTAATCCTCTGACACGGCTAGGGTGCTCTTTCTTCTCTAATGCTGTGGTTAATATATCTTGCCTACCAGTAGGAACAAAGGTTCCTTGAGTAACTGCTTCTTCCAAGGAGTCCTATGACAAGCAAAGAAGAAATGCAATTAGAAAACTACTCCTTCAGCATATCACAAGTTTGTTAATTACAAAATACTTACAATCTTTTTTGCTACTTCTCTAGCCTTTTCAGTAAGGAACTCCCCTTTCTTATTCATTCGGGCTCTCTTCCATGCTTGAGCACAATTGACAGGAGATGGAGGAGAAACATCTCCATCATCCTTAGCCTCTGCAAGTTGTCTCTTAGCCTCCCATTTTTCTTCCATCATTTTGTTGTTTAGCAATGCATAACCTCCACGAGACAAGGTATGGGGGTATAGATTTTTTTCCTGTTTCTCCTTACCTCTTTTCTTTTTTCCTAATAAAACAATGAAAAGTATTTATAAAAAAGAAAATATTAAATAAATACTACTTTAACATCAAATTCTTCTTTTACTTACCAAAAAATCAGAATTGTATCTGCTTTCAACAAATTCCATCCATGTCATTTCATCAATATATGAGTATTTCTGCCAAGGCTTTTCAAAGTTTGTGTCATCATCAACATCATGATCACTTTCACTACCCTTTTCATTAAATATATAATTTCTTGTGAGTTTGGACTTAAAGTCCCTCCACTACACTGCTGCATAAGAGAGCCACTTCTCCTTCATAAACATTGTATCAGGTATGTCATAAGTAATCTGCAAAAGCAACACATGTAAGTAATAAAGTTAGTAATAACATATACTTCAATACAATAGCTAAATAAAAAGTAGATATAGGATGTAATGAGAGGTACCAGTATAGTATCCCAAACTTCATTTCTATCATTTTGTCTCACTTTATCCCATTCATTTATCAAAATGCTAATTTTTTGATGTGCAACAAGTACAACAAAACTTCTAAATGTGTTCCCTTCTTTCCAATCAATTGGCTCCCCTCTCTTATCAAATTCAATATGAATCTTGCCTCCATCTGCTTGAGCTAATTTAGTAAGCCGTGTGACGCCTCTTTTACAATTTTTTGACTTTGTGGTTTTCTTGCCAATGCTCAATGAATTCTCCATGTATACCTTTGAAAATAGGAATATAAATAAGTTCAGTAATAAAAGAATAATAAATGAAAATTATAATCAAACAAATCAAAAGAAACAATGTTGAAAAGCTTACACAAAAGTTAAAAACACCTCTACTAATATTACTGTCATAAGAGTTTAATTAATTATGATTAAGTCTCCCATAAACCTTCATCATGATTAGTCCTTACGCCATACATATCATCTTCTTTATCACCATGCTCACTTGTTATGCTATATACACCATCTTCTTTATCTTCTTCATCCAATTGAGGCATGGTTGACATAGAAAGAGGAGTCTCACCAATATCACAATAAGATTCATCATTCTCATCATGTGCAATTAGGCTTTTCCCATATAGAACCATAGACTAATTTTTATCAACTAGATCTGTGACATAAAAGACTTGCTTTACATGAACTGCCATAATAAAAGGATCCTCCTTATGACCTACTTTATTAAGATTTATCAGTATTAGACCTGACATATCTATTTTCACACCATTATTGCTATCAACCCATTTACACTTAAAAATCAGCACTTTGAATTTATAGTAGTCAATTTCTCATATTTCTTCAATAATCCCAAAATACTGCATTTAGGATTTTTATCTTTAGAACTAGAAAAGTGCATTGCTTCTGCAACTACCATAACACCATTGTTTTGCATAGTGCTCTTATCATCTTGATATTTTGTGTAGAATGAATAGCCATTGATGTCATATCCACTCCAAGTTGTGACATTATAGTTAGGCCCACTAGCTAGCCATCTTACTATATTGGAAACATTGAACTTTTGACGATCTTGCTTTACCTTTGCCTTAAACCAAAGTGAGAAACACTTATTGCGCTCACTTAGCAACCATTTATCTACCTTTTTAGGGTTTTGAACCCTTAATTCCTCTTTATGCTCAAACAAGTAATCTTGAACTTTATCAATGTTATTTAAGATGTATATATGCGCTTGTTCTACATCATCACGCTTCATAAGCCTCACATTAAACCCTCACGTCCCTTGACCTGCAACTCTCATTCCCTCATGGCGAGACTCAGGAAGTCCTATAGGTTTTATTCCAGATAGGTATTCAGTACAAAACTCAACAACCTCTTCAGCAACATATCTTTCAACAATAGACGCTTAGGTCGATGTGGATTCTTCACATACCCTTTAAGGATTTTCATATATCACTCAAATAGGTACATCCAACGCAAATAAACAGGGCCACACAACTTTATCTCTCTCACCAAATGTATAATTAGATGCACCATGATATCAAAAAATGACGGCACAAAGTACATTTCAAGTTGGCATAAGGTAATGACAACATCATTCTGCAATTCATCCAATTTCTCTGGGTCAATGACTTTACTACATATAGCATTGAAGAAGGAACATAATCTAATTATTGTATTTCTCACCTTTTTCTCTAGTATGTCTCGAATTGCTATTGGTAAGAATTGTTGCATCAAAATGTGGTAATCATGGGACTTTATGCCTACTAATTTTAAATCCTTCATTGATACAAGCCTTTTGATATTTGAAGAATATCCTTGTGGCATCTTAATACTTTGTAGACGTTGACAAAAGCTTTTTTTTCTCTCTTTTTGACAAAGTATGATAGGCTGGGGGCATGTAAGTTCTCTTTCCATCAGTTCTTGGACACAAGTGTGTTTGAATCCCCATTTCAAGTAAGTCCAATCTTGCTTTCTTACCATCCTTGCTCTTTCCCTCTATATTTAATAGTGTTCCAATTAGTCTTTCACACACATTTTTTTCCACATACATCACATCAATACTATGCTTTACCTCAAGATATTTCCAATAAGGGAGATCAAAGAAGATAGACTTCTTCTTCCAGAGATTCTTCTCAGTTACCTTTTTTTGGCTTTTACCCAATACTGTATCAACGTCTTTCACCTGTTCATATACTTGGTCTATAGTAAGGGGCTCTGGAGGGTCCTTATACTCTTGAAAGCCATTAAATTCCTTTTTCTTCCTTTGATAAGGGTGGCCTGGTTTAAGAAATCTTCGATGACCAAGATAAAATGTCTTCTTTCCATGTGATAACTGTTGGTGAGATGTCCTGCTTCACATATAGGGCATGCATTGTGCCCTTTAACACTATATCCGGATAAGTTTCCATAAGCAGGAAAATCATTTATTGTGCAAAAAATCATAGCTCTTAGCTTAAAAGACTCTTCATGATATGTATCAAATACATCTACACCTACCTCCCACATCATCTTCAAATCATCAATCAACAGTACTAGATAAACATCCATATCATTTCCTGGCTGTTTTGGGCCCGAAATCATCAAAGATAACATAATATACTTGTGTTTCATACACAACCAAGGAGGTAGATTATAAATCACTAAGAGAACAGGCCATGAGCTATGTTGACTGTTAAGATTTCCATAAGGATTCATCTCATCCGTGCAAAGTCCAAGCCTAAGATTCCTAGGCTCATTACCAAATTCAGAAAATAATTGATTGAACCTTTTCCATTGAGAAGAATCAGTAGGATGTCGAAGCATTCCGTCAGTTTTCCTTTCTTCAACATGCCATCTTAACTTCTTTGCCTCATTTGCATTAGCAAATAAATGTTTAAATCTTGGTATTATCGGAAGATACCACAATACCTTTGCAGGAGGCCCCTTAGTAATAACATCACCACCCTCCATCTCTTTTACTTTATAGCTTGATGTCCCACAGACCGGACATGCATCCAGCTCATCGTATGCTTTTCTATATAATACACAGTCATTGGGGCAAGCATGTATCTTTTTATATCCTAATCCTATTGGGCATAATATCTTCTTTGCCTCATAATTATGATCTGGAAGTAGATTACCTTTTGGAAGCATATCTTTCAACAATATAAGCAACTCTGTGAAACTCTTATTACTCCACCCATTTTTTGCTTTTAAGTTGACTAGCTTTAACACTACTGTCAACCTTGTGTACTTTGTGCACCCAGGATATAAAGGCTTTTCGGCATCATTGCACAAGTTACTATATTTATGTAATTGCTTAACAACATCAACACCTACATCATGAATCATATCTTCCACTCGCTCATCCATATCCATATCATCTTTCTCAATCTGGCACACTCTATGTTTTTTAGACTCACCATGCAATACGCATTGTTTATATACTTTGTAGAACCCAAAACAAATCAAGTGATCCTTTATTTCTGTTGTAATTTGTCGCAACCTATTCATACATTTAACACAAGGACAATAAAACAATCCATTGTTATTAGGAACATTATTCTTCACAAATTCCAAAAACTGATCCACCCCACACTCATATTCGTCACTTGTTCTTAGAGCGTCAATCCAACTACGATCCATGATTACCTAATTCAAATATCAACACCTTATTATTTTTTGAGGTAATAAAAAACCCAACAGCATGACAGCTTAAAAAATGATGTCTCCCATGCATTAAACCCTCAATTTAACCTTGTTATCTCCTAATCAAACATATATTCCAGCAAATCTCATATTTCTCATTTAGACTAACTCCAGAGCAATGTGACTTTTATCAACTCTGATCAAATTTAATTCAACTTCAAAGCTATACATTACAAATTCTAACTTCATTCAAACTCTATAAGTTCTAATTCAACTTCAAAGCAATATGATACCAAATGAAACAACAAGGCAAGTTTTCAGAGTCAATATGATATTCTAACAAATATAATCTCAATGATACTCATCAATACTAACTCTAGAAAAAAAGTGACAATTATCAAATATCATCAAAAAAACTTTGGTCAAAGAATGATTAAAATTTTATTAATGTGAGAAATTATATATTATAAAAAAATGCATTATTTAATTGTAACCAAAGTAATTTTGTGTATGTTACATCAAGTATTATGCATATACATCAATTGTATTTCACATTATCATCTATTTTTGTCCCTTTTCGAGATATATAATAAATTAAATCAAATCAAACATATTTAGTCCTCAAGTATGATATATTAACTAAGATAAGTCATGTTAATAAAATGTAACAGCTCATAAGTTTAATAACAAGAACTAATCTAAACTTTCTCAACGTTAGGATCTAAAAATTGAATAAACTATATGACAACAGAAAATAATAATTTAACCTAAAAGAATAAATAAAATAATTGCACAGGTTGAATATTTCATTCTTCCACATTCATTTAATCTCCCTCTTCTCTCATATCTTATTCATTTGCTCTCTACAGCATTCATCCTCCATTATCACTTCCTTTCATTTTATGTCTGTTGTTAGGTCTGAATCATCATAAAAAAGCCATATTTGTACAGGATTAAGCATTTGGAACAACACAATGACATAAATATGTAAACTTGCCTTTTTAGAAAAAACCATTAGAAGATTTCTGCAGTAAAAACATAACCGAAATTTCAGAACAAGATTTCAGGAGAAAAAAACAAAACTTGTTACATTTGAAAAACTATTACTTGCCGTATAAACAAAATAAGATTTCAGAAAAACTGTTACATTTGAAAACCCAGAGTTTAGCAATAGAAACAGATTTCAACAAACAAATATTTCAACAAGAGAATTTAAAACTAGTTTTCAGGGGGAAAAAGCCTGGTGCATTGACTTGTCGCACATATTATTTCAGCAAAAGTCTTACTTGTTAAACTAATTGGTGCCAAAAGCATAAGAACTAATTTTTGATAGGTTCACAGCTAAATTGACTGGTATTGGTTCAGTAACAGATCAATCACGCAACCTCATTCCTTTACTTTTATTGGTTTGTGTTTCTATCAAATGAATTGGTTCAATGACCACTGCTCCATTTTTCTAGTTTGATCAGAATGTAGTTTTCGCATAACATAGTGCAAATTAATACAAAAAAGGACATTCACATTCTTGATAGCATCCCTTCCCACACAACAAAAATTTGGACTCCTAAATCACGGTAAGGATTGGTCATCACGTTAGCAAGTAAAACCCATTCAACCAAATAACTTCTCATCTCATTTCTAGCTACAAAACTAGCATTATATGAACAATAAACAGGAGATGATGGAAAATCCCATAGAAACAATTTTAAAAAAAACTGAACGAACAGAGTATACGGTAATCACACGATTCTTTAACAGATCAAACAATTTTTCAGTTTCAGCGACAATCCAAAATGATCAGAAAAACTAAAATACTCACTAGAACCTAAGCTTCAAACAAATTACTGTCAACGCACGGCACCGAGATATGCAAGACCTAAGGCATCATCGACGATGATGAGGAGGAAAGAACAGAGCAGCTTTGGTGATACCCAAATGGCGATGAAGGAAGATTCCAAGTGCCACCTAAAGATAGATAAAGAAGAAGATGAGACCCACGAACCTGCTCGAACCCAACGCGAAGAAGAAGAACACCAACCCCAACTGCCACCTTGAAGACAGAGTGAAGAAGGTGAGACCCGGAACCAATTCAAAGATAGAACAAAAGGAAGGCAAGACGATTAGCTCGAGACCCACAGGACACTGATTAAACTTCTAGCGGGACCTACTCCACCACCACCCACGAAGACAGATACGGAGGAATGGGGCAAGAGGAACCTAGAGCTAATGAACCATATAATAAAGACGGGAAAGCGTGCTGATGAAAATATGGAGGGAAGGGGGAATTTTTTTTTTTTTAAGTTCCTCAATGTATTATGGCTTCAGGCTCGAAATAGGACTGAAGCCATATGCACCTTATGGCTGCTGGTAATGGGCTAGACGCAGTAACCTTTAAAAAAAACTTACATATAGCTTGTATAAAAAAAAATTGCACACAGCATCTAGTTAGATATATACTAGATGTTCTACCTAATATAAATAGATAATTTCTTAATCTAAGTTTGAAATAAATCAAGTTTTTAATTGTATAAAATCATTTAAAAGAAAATTTCTCATTAAAAACCATTCAGTTAGTGACAAAGAAAAAATAAAAAGAATTAAAAATATATTATTTCTATTTAAATAATTAAAATTTTTAATGGAACTAATTAAATAAAAATGAAACCATAGTATGTAATAATGCCTTTATGCCTTATAGAAGATGTCCTAATGCTAGTATATGAAACGAAATATAATTTAAAATTATTTGGTATATTTATGGAGTCTGTTTAAAATTAAACAGAAGTCATATGTAAGCTTATGGCATCAAGTCTAAGCAGGTTAGAAGCGAAAAGTGTTGAAAGAACATACAACTTCTATTTCCTCTATAACTGACACCAAAAGTAGAAACTAAGTTGGTATTTTACACTAGTGCAAATTGATTAAGTGATAAAGAGGCAGCATGGAATTTACAATTTTAATGTTGACTTGCTTAATTATTACATGATATTATCTTTAGGGTATATGCCATATGTTATTTGAACTTGTTTGATGATAATGTCTTTGAATTGCTTGCATAATGTGCCTTGGCATAATTCATTCGTTTATTGATCTGGATTGATTTGATATGGTGTTTGTATGGCATAGAGGTAGAGAAATGTTTTGTATATTGATTGTAATATATCTTGCATGTTTAACATTATCATTGTAATTTCTTTGCTACTGAGATTTCTGTGAAATCTCATTCCTCTCAATGTATACACAATCAATAGGGATCTCAAGTGGTGTGATCAAGGCAAGTAGATGGTTATTCCATGAAGGAAATATGTTATGGAATTATATTGAATTCATGTTGAGTATATGGTTTGTAATTATTATGAATTATGTTGGAATATTGTAATAATGATCAAAGTACTATGCATGCAGATATTGGGCCAAGGAATGATGTCTAAGCATGTGATTTTTAATTGGAATAGTCTATGGAAGGAAAAGAAAAGATAAATGTAAGAATTGCATAAAAAGGGATAAAAGTTGACTTTTAATAGGCAAAGTTTGACTAATAAAATTTGTACAATTGGATGAGTCTTGGGCTAAAATTTGGCAAAGTTATAGATTATATTTTTTAGGTTTAAAACAAGTATCATTTCATTAAATTTAGAGTTTTATACAAAAAGTTATGCCCTTTCAAAGTTGGGCACAAATTCTAAAAATGAACAATTGATCATATAAACAGTACTACTTTGCATGAAATCTGGAATCAACTGATAAGTCCTAGATGCCAATAATTATTTTTTTCCCTAAAGATGGTATTAAGAGCTTTAAATAGAACTTAGAACCACTTTGTTTTTATTTTTTTAGAATTGGTTATGAATTTTCAAATTTGACTCTTGTTAGGGTTATAATGAATAGTAACCTTAATTTAAGAAAATTTAATGTTCAAATTTTTCCAACTTAAGGCTAAAAGAAATTATCCAAAATGGTTCCAACTGAGATAAAATGAGGCCTAAAAGTAAGGCGTGATAGAATATGCAGGAATTTATCTTGGTTCAATCTCAACCACTTGACCTATGTTCAGTTCTCAGAACACCTCTGAGCTTTTCACTATACCCCAAGATTCAATAGGCTCTTGGTGCCATAGTACAGTAATTGAGCTCGCTCTCAATCACTCCCTCTTACTTCTCGTAAGGTTACAATCCCCTCAAGAGTCTTAGACTCTTGAGTCACTCATTGAAAGTAATAAATGATTTACAAACTCTCTCTTAAGAGTGTATAAGATAAACACTAAAGATTAGAATGGAAAACAAAGTATTGAATGCAGAAAGTTGATTTGATAGTTGGTAGCTTAGCTCATTTATTACTTCAATCAATGCTCTTGGTGGTTTTTATAGTTAGAGACTTCCATCTTTCTGTTAGACACAAGAGCTTATAACCATTAAGATATCGTTTGTGTGTGTGGGTAGTTGCAACAGTTGTTCGTAATAAATGCACTTTTGACACAGGTAGCTTTGGCCTATAATATATCCATTGAGCCTCATCAGCTGTAAAATTGTCTTAGTAAAAATCTAATAAGTTATTTCACCAGAGAATATAAACGAATAGCAGAAGAAATGATCATTCTTGGATTTTAATAGATGAAGTCAAAATCACAAATCATGGATTAGAGAATCATAGAATCAATTTATCAAAGATCTTATCAATAACTAGCATGATCGATAAAGTTATCAATTAATTGAAAATGAGAGAACTTGAAAATCAAACTCATTTATTGAAGTCATTGTGGATCATACACTTTATGGAACAAGTTATCAATAAAGAGTGAATTGTAATCAAAGTGATTTTTATTGTGAAAATACTTCTGGAATCAATTGAAAAATCTGTAACTTGAATTAAGTGCCTTCTTTGTTTTTAATAAGAATGTAAGATGATTAATAAAGACCGAGAAAAGCTTAAAGATAGAGTAATGTCATATTCTCTGAAAACTATTGTGAAGAACAATTTCAAGAAATGTATTTGGACTTTATGGAACAAGTTATCAATAATTCAATTTATCAAAAGCTTATTGATAATTGAAGTGACCTTAGAAAATCAATTTGAACAATTTTATCTGAAAGGTTATCGATGAATTGGTTTATCAAAAAGTTGTTAGAAAAACTCTATATGAAAGGTAAGAGAGCACATGACAGGAAAACCGTGACTTGATAAATATGATTATCAATAAGGTTATTGATTAAAATCTAAATAAAACTTGAAGGTTTAGAGAAACAGAGTGAAGCTTAATCGAATAGCTTATCAAATACCAAAAGAAGTTTAGTAAAATCAAACTTACTCAGTTGTAGAACAAGTTATCAAAAAGTATGAACATCAATAAGGTGATTGTTAGCTCATAAAGTATGGATAAGATGAGTCTTACCAATTATTTGACACATGATCGATAACCTCATTTATCCCTAAGGTTATCAATAAATACTTATCAATACAGAGAGACACTTATCATTTTACCTACGGCTTATTGAACACCTAGTTTATCGATCAAGTGATCGATAATAGCTTAACAGCAATCACATTTAGATAAGTTTACCCATTGATCAATAAGGTGATTGAACATTGCATTTATCTAATAGGTTATCGATAAATTCTTTGACAAAAATGCAGAGAAACTTAACTACTTATGTTATTATCATTAAAACTTTAAATCTAACAATCTCCCGCTTTTTTATGATGACAAATCAAAAGATGTAAAAAGAATGTAAATTGTAGAGTTTAAACATTATTCAAAATAATATCACAGAAATTGACAGAGATCAAAATAAATTACAGAATATAGATACTAAACATTACTCAAAATAAAACATAGAAATTAACAGAGGTAAAAAAATTACAGAATTCAAATACTAAAATAGTCAGTAACAGAAGATCAAAACATAGATAACACAAAGAAGAGAAACTAAAAGGAAACAAATCTAGATCTACATCATCCTGAGGTCTCTTCCCCCTTTTTGTCAGAATCAGAAATGGATGGTGCAGAGATTAAGGATAAAGGAGGTAGGGTAAAAGGAATTGGAAGAGAAGGAAGTTGAGAGATTAGAGAGAGAGTTTGAGAGATATGTGGGAGAAGTTGAGGTTGAGATACAGGAATGATGGCAAGAGATGTTGGGATAATGGTTGAGGATGAAGAAGTGAAAGTAGGCACAATGGTGAAAGGACTTAGAGAAGGAACTAGAGAGGGTTTGGGTTTAGTTGAGGGTGGTACAAATAGATGAGTAAAAAGGTCCTTATATGAGAAGGAAGTGCCAGAGAAGTTGGTTGAGAGTAAGATAACTAGCCTCTTAACCTCCTAAAGTTCCTTTTCAATAACATCAAATATTTGAGTAACCTCTTTTTCCAGAACTGCCATTGCTTGTCTATGAAGATTGTCACACCCCAAGTTTTGGGCCTAAGAATACATGGGTTAGCCTAAGATAGGTAGGCTACTAAATCCCTATGAACAGGAGTTCCAGAAATGTAAAAGGAATATTGAAGGGTTTCAGGGACTAAACTGTAAATAGAGAAAGTTCTAGGGACTAAAATGTAAAGAATGTTAGAGGCTCCAGTGAAGTCTCAAGGCCCAGAAATGGAAAAAGAGGTTAGTTCAGACCAAAGGTTATGATAGAGGCCATAATAGGGTGATTTATGAGGTTTACTTGACCAGGGGCAAAATCATAATTTTTGAAAAGTTTTGGGCGAGGAATGGGTAAAAATGGAAGTAATACCCAAAAATTCTAGAAAATTCTAGAAAATGGAAAATGACATTTTAAGGCCTGTATATGAGGAAAAATGATGAAAATGCCCTTGAGTTGACTTAAAAGGAATTTATAAGTTTATGGCTCAGTTTGAGATGTAGAGGTAGATTTAATTATTTGAGTCATAAGAAAACCTCAGAAAATTATGAAAAAATGGAGATGTATGATCTAAGAGGCTATAGAATTTATAAAATTAGTCTCAATCCTAGAAGGCCAGCAGAATGGCTTTAATTTTTTTTTTGGCCAGAACTGCAGTTTATGGTTTTGTTATGGGAAATTTAAAAAGAAATACTTATGGTTTGAGTTATGATCTGAGAACAGAATTAAAAAAAATTTATGGTATAAATAGATGAATTTTTGGAGTTCAAGATTGGATAAAATGCTCCAGTCAAATGTTAAATAATTAATGTTCCTTAATTAGGAGACAAAGTTAGAAAATATCTTAGATATTTTGAGGAAAACAAGTTCAACTTGAATTCTCTTCTTCTTTCCCATGTGCTTCATTTATGAGGTTGATGAGTCATCATATGAGTCACCAGAAGATATTTTATGGGCAGTAGAAAAATTAGAATGCAATACGGGTAAGTGTTAGACAGTTCCCTATCTACCCGGTAGAGTAAAATTTCTACTATGTGACTCAATAAGGTTGACTAATTGGTCAATAGTGTTGACTATTTTTTCCCCCTCTGCTCCTTTAAGGTGGCGCCATATATGTGCCTTTTATTGGCCAATATCAATTATTAAAAATACCTAGAGATCTCAGAAAATTATGAAAAATTAAACGAAATTCATTTAGGAATTATGGAGATTTATGAAATTATTTCCAACCCTAAATGATGAGGAGGTTAGCTTTAATTGAATTTAAAACTAAATTAATATTGGTATATTGTCTGTTTTTACGGAAACAGCAATTTAAAGAGTTATATGGGGAGAAAAATTATGAAATTAATCAAGGAAGTTCCCTTTACTGAGATATAATTAATGTTGATCTGATATAAGAATTCTGAGATACTAGAATTTTTCAGCTATCAGATAAAATAAACCAATATTATATTACGATTCAGTAGACTGTTAGGACCACTGGGGTGGTAAAATTTCTGACAAAATGTCAAGGACACATGTCATGCCCAAATTGGCCAAGAAAGGGAAAAAGAAAATAAAAAGAAAAAGGAAAAGAAAATACTAAATCAAGTTAGATTAAAATTTAATTAGGGATAAGTAAAATGATTATGGTTAAGTCATCTTTCATAGGATCGCGACACGTGGCAAACATGGTTCATTGGATGGCTAGGATTTAACCATCTATCTTTGAAAAGTCAAAAGCTTCTAGAAGGGTAATTAGCCAAGTTAATCAAAGAATTAGGAGAGTTAACCTTGATTAAAGCTTAATTAATCTTAATGGATAAGAAAGATGACATAAGCCCTAATGACTCACTATCCAAGTGTCAACATATTAAGCCACATAGCCTAAGATTTGTATGTGTGGAAAGAGGTAAAAATTATAGGGCTAAGATTAAGTCTTATGCAAGAAGGGCAAATGTGGAATTAATGAAAAAGGAAGCCTATAAATACCCCCTCCCACATGTTCATTTTGTGTGAAGCCTTTCAAGTAGGAAACCTCTTGCAAATTTTTGTTTAGAGTGAGAAAGAGAAGATTTCTAGTGAGAGAAAGTCATTTGGAAGCAAGGTAAGCCTCTACAACTCTCCTATTTCAAGTATAATAATGATATGTGGGTTTTGTGCTATTTTAATGATCATGGTGTAAGGAATTGGAAGACGCGCAGCAGAAAAATAACTTTAAAATTTTCCAATTCCTTGCCCGGATCTACCGATTGTGTTTAAGTCAAGTGGTAAGAGGTGTTACCTGCGGTATTCAAATCGTTGGTGGCTCGGGGATTTCGACATTCGGGATGCCTATGCTCTCCTTTTGTTCGTGAGAAGTCGACAACTCAGATCGGCTTCCTCTATCGGTATCCACACGAACAGCTTTCAATCACAAACGACATGCTAGCGCCTCTTGTCCTTCTAGGTTTTTTTTTTGTTTTTTTGAGAATCCGTCCTCACTGTCTCTCCTTTGGCCGTTTCTTATCTGCAAACTTTTTGCACTCTCATCCACACGAAACCCTAGCTCCTAATATCAAATATATAGGATGCCATCAGTATTATGAAGGACATTGGATTTCAGAATTAATCCTAAATTAATTCCTAAATTAATACAATATTATATATTGCGTAATCTGATAAGAAATCAATTAAATAAATACGGTTTGTATATTAAATCCGTCCTACAGATTTAATTCACCCATTCATTTAATTCAAAATAAAGATATGACGGAATTATATTTGATTTATTCTAATAAATCAAATTTGAGATATTATACCTTATCAATTTAAAAAATGATATAGATTTAATTTATCCTTATAAATCAAATCTTATAAATATCTCTTATATCATATAATATATATACGCGAATTTATATATATATATACACACGTCCACCCTAGATTATTCATTGAATCTGGACATATCTTAGATTCAATGAATCTGGACATCATAGCTCGTGTTGGGCTATTTTGTGTGCGACCCTGTAGGCCCATATAAAGTTGGCAGTGGGCCATTTACTATAAATGACTCACAGTCGTAAGCGGTCTCTAGCAAGACATCATGACTACCCAAATCATATGTAGATCGATGAACGATGTAACCTTTCATACAACCATATCACGTCCCTTTTGTCACACGACATTTTGGTCATGGATGAGGCATGGAGAACGTCATCCTCCTATTCCTAACTGTTACTTTCTCGATCCCTGAGTAGTCTAAGTATAGAAATGGAACTACCTTTCCATTATAGTATGGCCATACATTTCTCAGACTCACTCATCGAAATGGAACTACCTCTCCATTATAGTGACATGGTTTGTATATGAGAGAAGCTTATGACTTAACCCATGCAGCTCTCTCATAGTGGGTCGATCCAACACCTTGTACTCTTACATGTGCCTATGATTTTGATTTATATCTCTATACATCTTCAAAGTCATACAGTCTTATTTCATGCTCCTGCCATATATTTTCTCCTGTGCTGAAATTTTGTAATAGTCTTCAACATATTCATATACATTTCCCCCCACAGTCTTATGGGCTGCACAAGCATGGCAGCATGGAATTCCTGACATTTGCCAATCAAGACAACTACATTGGTGTAGACCAAGGTCTACTCTTTAATCTCCACGAGATGTATGTACACACAGTCTTCCGCCTCCATAATTGTCACAGCTCATATACTTACTGAAATACACATTCTCCAGAACCTTTGCCTCGGTTTTTGACCCAACACAATTCCTCCACTTACTCATAAACATATATGATGCATGCATCTTCCTTGCTACTTTCTCCCGATGCTCATGGATCATTTGCGCCACATTATGCTTTCTCTCTTTCACCATCCAAGAATTGAAAGACTCAGCTATATTGGTTGTTATATTATCCCATCTTTTAAATGGGAACTTGCTCATTGCCCACCTATTCACATCACCTTGATTGATAACCCAATCATGTAACTCAGGAGACATAGTTCTTAGCTCTGCCATTACATTATCAAAGTCACTATCAACCCTTTCATAAGCTGCTCTATCAAGAACCTTTAATGCATCTTCTTTTGACCATTGGCTTGTCCTTTTACCTCTGTTTACTTTCACTTGTTCAGCACTGAAGTTTTCCTTCACATGCCTATAACAATACGCATGTCTTTCACCTCCAAATATTGCTTGGACAGATCCTATTATGGCATTGTGTCGGTCTGACACAATCGTCACCTGCACCGAACCAACAATTTCTTTAATTTTGAACAGAAACCAAGTCCAGTAATCAAGATTCTCTGATTTCACCACTGCTATTGCAAAAGGCAACAAGTCATTATCTGCATCATATCCCGACGCTAAGAGTAGTATCCCCTTATATAGACCACTTCAATGAGTTCCATCAACATATAATATAGCCCTTGCACCACTCAAAAAACCCTCAATACACGAACCATATGCAATGAAAACCCGCTCAAATGTATTACCAATGACAACCCATTCAGCAACTATTTTATCATCAGTTTCTTTCAATCTTTGGCATATCCACGGTATGAACATATAGGATTCTTCCAGTTTCCCATGTATGTGTTCCATGGCCTTTTCCTTTGATCTGTAAGCTTGAGCATATGTTAGCCTCACACCATATTCCCTTTCCAGTGTCTTCCTTATTTCAGTAGGACGCTTTTCGGTATGGTTCCTTATCTCCTCAAGTATTATTGATGACGTCAACACAGCATTGCCAGCATAAGTGACATCTAGGTTATCTTGCGCTAAATGAATGTGTTCATTAACGAATGTGGTCACGTGTAATAAAAGAGTATCCCTCCCAACAGCATTTGTACAAATCTTCCATGGACACCCTTCCACTTTACACCTCACATTCATCTTCTCCCTACTGTTTCTCACATATGTCGTTGCAAACTTCTGTGCAATACTAAACCTGTACATAGCCTCCCTAAAATCTTGGGCATGTGGAATATATTGCCCTACTCCTGCAAAAACTCCAACCCATTTCATGCAATTCAAATTACCCCTCAATGTCCCTTTACTCCCTGAACCGTCACTGAAGTTTGTCTGACTTAAACCCCCTCCTTCACACATTAGGCATTCAGCACCATAGTCAACAATGAGTGGTTCATAGTTATCACCAAGGTTCACCACACCTTCAGTCATTTCTCCTGACAGCCCAAACAAATTCTCACCCCTACACCCATAATAACAACATTCGAATAGAAATTAGCAACAACACATTAGGAAATAACAACATTCTACTGTAACAAAGTTAGCATAATAACAAGATTTGTATGGGAAATATCAACAATTCATTATAAAATAACAACTTACTACTATAATAGACTAAGCAATATAACAACATTTGAATGGAAATGAGCAACAACTCATTACCAAGTTACAACTTCCAACCACAACTTCATTACCTTAATTACAAGATTTATATATAAATTAACAACAATTCATTACCAAATAACAACTTTCTACTGCTGTGCAGTGCACATGATAACAACATTTCTTTGGGTATTAACAATAATCCAATACCGAACAATAATTATCAACTGCAAAACTTTAACCACTTATATTTCTCCATCATTCACTGCTCCACCTTCCTTCTGGTTCCCTTTTGCTGCTCTATACAAATGAGCACTACTATCGTTATATCTAAACATATTGCAAATATCACCTTCATCATAAAGATCAACCAGTGTGTCCTCAGTAAACTTAACCATGTACTTAATTTCGCACCCTTTAGTATCATTGTGTACCAACTGTGATATTGTTCCCCTTAATTCCTCCAGTGTTATCCCTTCTTTTATGCTGCTTGCTCTCACACTCCCTCCACCATATTTAACTTCACCTTCATTGTTTCTTTCAAAATACCTGCCAACATGGAAAAAACAAAACAATTCCTTCTAACAGCTTGACCCATTGTTACAGTTCATTTTGTCATCCTAACCTGGAACAACAATTTACATATAAAAAAATATATCAGCTTCACTATACTTTTATTCAATCAAATTTGCATTTATAAATCAAGACCAACTAACTCTTCTCTTCCCCACTTGACATTAGGGTTTTACAAGTTGGACATTCTAAATGACAAGATCTTTACTCCTCTCCCCCTACTGCACCACCTTAAACTTCATACTCAAGCTAATAATTATTACCTCCTTCCATTTCCTCTCCCCCACTCTCCTATTCGTGATATTCCTAACAGAGATCAGTGGCAACCTGCGTCATGAAAATCACAAGTCAACAATCTGACTACAAAGACTAATATTTTGAATCTCAACCCAACCGAACCCTCCTTAAACAGTGTTATTCCATGATCAACTCCACCGCTCACTCCCTCCATACCTATCACTCAACGACCCACAATGCCACTCACCACATTCAAGAACAACATCACATTCCTCGGTCTTACAGGGTAGAGAAGAAGAAGAGTATACTTAGAAACATTGCAAACATTACTTACTTGATTCTCAACCATGTGCACCACCAATCTTCTCCTCCAAGCTCTCCACGATCACATTGTTTGTCTCAACCTTCATTAATGAATCTGATTGACTGAGGGGCAATTTCATCTTTTCACCAACATTTGCTATTTGCAATTTGAGACCGGGTTCCTTATGGTAATTTGGCTTATTCAGGTGACCATAGAGTGATTTTGCTAATTCGAGGGTCTTTATTTGTGATTTCCCCTTTATAATTCTAGCCAACAGTAAATAATCCTCTTGGGTTAAGTGTGAGAAACTTCCAAATTTGTTGACCATGCTTCTGGAGTAGATATAGTGGATTATTCTGAAATTATCACACATTTTGGCTTGGAGGAAAACTAAGTTCTCTAGGGAAGGCATCACTTTGCATCAGAATCTTGTATGCTTTCACAGAATTCATCTTAGGCCCTCTTATCTTTATAGGGTCCAGTGTGATTGTTAGACCTCTAAGTTTAGTGGTGATGAAGCTTTTGGTTAGTTTCCCTTCATCATCATAAGTGTCATGCACTTCCATATTGCAGTAAAACTTGCTTACCACTTTTGGACAATAATCTTCTCTAATACTTAACCAGTTTTGATAATATTCTATTGGTTCAAGCAAATCTAATCCGATTTTCTTATTCTTTTTAATGGGTTCAAGTCCACGGATACCATAGGACGGAATTTTCTCGTGGGAAAATCTATTTTAAACTTTCCCATGTTCACATCCTTATCTAATTTTCCCACTAAAAATTCTTCAACAGAGGCTTGTAAAGGGTTACCTTGAAATTGAGCTTGATGAGAGTCTTCTTTACTTATCCCCTGTTTCTTTCTTCATGGTTGTTTGTGAAACATCCTACCTTTAACCCTCAGAGTGCGCATTAGTTAGCATTATGATTCAAGCAGGTCATGACACAAGCCCGTGGATTTAAAATTTCAACATAACTATTCGGATTACTATTTACTATTTAAATTCATATTTCAGGTCCAATTTTGAGAAATCATAACTAATTCTATAAAAATCGTATCTCCTTGTGTACACATCCGACTGAGGCGATCTACCTCTCATTTTAAAGCTTGGGATGTGTATTATGAATCTGCCAAATTTTATGGATTAACTCATTCATTTGATAGGTCAAACTAGAGCTATAAAGTCACTACTTCATGACCTACGTTTTATCCCTTAACCTCTTTTTACTTTAATTCTTTCTATTTCTTTGGCATACATGAATTGGGTTTACACTTTCCTAATCATCCTCATACATTTCTATTCCTCCCATAAACATTATAATTAAATACATGGCATTATTGGCATCCATAACATAAATTACATAATAGGAGAATTACACATTGAATAATAATATCATTCATTAACGTCAATAATTCTCCACTTTCTTCTTCTTGCCTCTCATGCCATTATTGCTCACCATTGATTGACCTAAATGGTTGGTTAAGGAGGGGTGAGATTTGGGAGAATCTCAGTAGCAAACACTACCCATAAGCATGCAAGACATAATGCACATGCATGACATGTTATAACATTAACACATGAATGCCATGGAAAGTAAGCTACAACATTTTATGCTTTCATAACAAATAGCCAAGGAAAAACATAACATAAACTTGCAAACATAACTTTGAAAACATTTCCTCATAGCTTAATCACATCATGGCAGTACAGCCACATCATGCAAGCATACATATCAAGCACACAATATAGGTAAGTTTACTACCTTGTAACATAGCTTTCCTCTTGCTTTTCCTTTGATTCCCTTGTCTTTCCAACCCTATGAATTTTTGGCCAACACCATTAAATATCCTCTTGGATGTTCCAAGGTCCTGAACACATCCATACACAATGCCAAATATTCATCAGAACCAAGACACCAACCTATTTCTTAATTGGTTCTTTCTTGAACATAATTGAATTCTAACTTTTGAGTTTTAATTCCAATCTTCCTAAAATTATTTCCACATGCAATTCCCACGTAATTTTGCATGTAGAATCCATTTCCAAGCTCAAAAAAATCAAAATCCAATCCTAACCATTCAGAACAGTCAAGGCCGAACAGAATCACAAATTAAGGGAAAGTTGGATTTCTTGCAAAATCAACACAGAACCACTTGATTCTTGTTGTTTCCAAGCCTTTAAACATGTTTCTAAAATCTATTTCATCTTTCCCTAACATTATCAATTTCGTACATCACCTCTCCACAGGATTTTAATCATCAAAAATCGAATCAAACCAACCACCAGGCTCAAAAATAACAAGGGAGGTAGAAACTACATCAAAGACGGCACACATACCTTGTTTTAGAGCTTGATCTGGCTTGGGACCACTTGGCTTTTCTTTCTCCCTCTTCTTGCTCTCTCTAGAAATCATTTTGCAAGAGCTTCCCCATGAGTTCCTTGTGCTTGGACAAAATGATAAGGAGGGGAGGGGTATTTATAGAAAACAAGATTGAATCTCGGCCGTTGATCTAAAAAATACGTGGGTTGATCTGGAACGTCCATTTTCTCTTTTTATCGTGTGATGAGATGTGTCCTATAACATCATACTTACCTCATCTTGATAACATCATGCTTACATCATCAAGCCACATGTCTTTAATCCAACCGCATACATGTCTTACATCTGACCGTACACGTGTCTTGCATTCAACCATACATGTAATACCTTCTTTTCCAATCTAACTGTATACTTATCTCTTCCATATTCATTCATCATTTTTGCATTAAAATAGGGAGAAAATTAATATAAAATTCATACAAAATATAGCCGTTAGGCATTCCTTTACCTATTTTGCCATTCTGTACCGTATCGGGTACTTTTTTTGAGTCCTGACTTACCCGGTATCACTGGGACATGTTCTGGTACCATTTTCTCATCTTAATTAAGTACATATATGGCACCATCTTGGAGGAGCATAGATGAAAATAATTAGCTCTACTAGCAGGCTACTTAACCTTATCGAGTCACGCAGTAGAGATTTCATTATAACGGGCAGACAAAGGACTGTCTAAAATATTCCCTTACTGTGTTCTCATTTTTATGCTGTCCATAAATATCTTCTGCTGACTCAGCATGATGACTCGTAAGTGTCATGATTACATTTGGTGACTAAGCATGATGACTCGTAGGTGTTATGATTGCATTTGGTGACTCAGTATGCTGACTCATAGGTGTCATGATGGTCTTTAGATATTTTGTTTCTCCTTTTCCCAAAAATATCATTAAATAATACTTAATCGGGGTTACCTTCTCCAAATTCTTTCTATCGGCTTGTAACTCCGTTAATCTATTTCTGGGTTTCATTCTTTCCCTTTCATCACGAGAAATTCCTCTAATTTTTCTCGGGTCAAAGGTCAAACTCTAGATAGCTATGTTGACTTTCCCCGGATAGGGTATAAATAGGCTTTAAATTTAATTAAAGCTAACCTTGTCAGTTTCTGGGGACGAAATTAATTTTACAATCTGTGTAAATTCCTCAACTATTGTTCCCTAATTTTTCCTGATTATTTGAGGCCATCTCACAGCTTAAATAATTCAATTTAAGTTACTATCTCAAATTGCCCAAAACCCTAGAATGACTTCAGGGCATTTCTGTCATTTCTAGCCTTATATCGGCTCTGGGATCTTATTCCCATTTTTCTGAAATTTTTCTAAGTCATTTGGGCCCTTT